CCAGGCTGGAGTGCAGTGATACAGTCATAGCTCACTGCAGCCTCGAACTCCTGGCTCAAGTGATCCTCCCACCTTAGCCTTGGAGGCCCTGGAATAAAGGGCTAATAACCAGAATCTACAAAGAACTCAAACGAATAAAACAACCCTGTTAAAATGTGGATAAAAGACATGAACAGAAGGTTTCAAAAGAAGATAGACTAATGGCCAATAAACATATTAAAAAATGCTCAACATCTCTAATCATCAACGAAATGCAAATCAAAACCACATCACTTAACTTCAGTGAGATAATACTTAACTCCAGTGAGAATGGCTTTTGTTAAAAAGTCTCAAAACAACAGATGCTGGCGTGGATATGGAGAAAAAGGAACACTCATACACTGCTGGTGGGACCAAAAACTGATACAACCTCTATGGAAAGTAGTATGGAGATACCTCAAAGAACTAAAAGTAGAACTACCATTTGATCCAGAAATCCCACTACAGGTTATTTACCCAAAGGAAAAAAATTCATTTTATCAAAAAGACACCGCACTTGAATGTTTACTGCAGCACAATCCACAATTGCAAAGATGTGGAATCAACCCAAGTACCCATCAATACATGAGTAGATTAATAAAATGTGGTATATGTATAACATGGAGTACTACTCAGCCATAAAAAATGGTAAACTAATACCTTTTATAACAACCTGGATGGAACTGGAGACCATTATCTAAGTGAAGTATTGTAAGAATGAAAAAGCAAACACCACATGCATTTACTATTAAATTGGAACTCATTGATCAATACTCGTATGCACATATTTACAAATGTGCATATGTAAATGAGTGTAAAACTCAATGGAAATCAAGCAGGTGGGAGGGGGCAAAGGGGATGGGTAAATTCATACATAACAGGTACAATGCACACTATCTGGATGATAAGCACACTTATAATTTTGGCTCAAATTGTACAAAAGCAATTCACGTAACCAAAAATTTGTACCCTTGTAATATTCTGAAATAAAAAACAACAACAACAACAAAAAAACAGGGCTTGACATGATAATTTTCCATGACCCTTGCACACAATAAATGAGATACAGGCATTTTTAAAATGACTATTGAAGAAAAATGGCTCTGATATTGCAATTTAAAAGTAACTGAAATGGTTATATTATTAAATAGTTGATTAGATAATGAAAGAGTACTTTATTGCATAGTTTTAAGAATCAAAATAATTCAAGATATGCAAAAGTACAGGGAATTTGCAAATCTTAAAAAAGAAAAGTAGTTTTATGCAAATAGGTATCCAGTGTTTAGGACGACTAAGAGATGAGAAGGAAGAAAAATGGCACAGAGAACTTCTATAAGCCTAATAGCCTTGAACATAAAATAGGCCAATAACTGGGACCTACCACATGGGCTGCTGTAAAGATTAAATCAGATGATGCCAGTAGAGTGATCAGAATACTACAGTAATGAAACATACATTTATCTACTTTGTCTTTATCATGAGATATACCCCCAGTTATTTAATACTGTAAATGAAGGTCAAGGAACAAGATGGGTAAACTAAATCCAGAGGTCATACAAATTTTCTCAGGCACAAAGTGCTCTAAATTCTTGCTAGCGTGAAAATATAGACAGGTTAGTGTATGGTCTCACTGCCATTTTTTATAACAACAAAAATGGACATCAATAAATAGTGACAGACCCAGAAAGGCATGAAGAAGGAGAAAGCTTGGAGAAGCCACAGAGCATACATTCATTTTCCAAAATGAATTTCTTCAGGAGTTGAAATGCCTACTTCAGCTCCCCATATGTCATTGTCAAGACAAATAAAAAACAAATTATTAGATTTTTGTGCAATGTTTTCTTTTACATTTTCTAGACAAAATTTTAATTTGTTCTCCTGTTCATTTTAGCTTTTCATAGTAGTAAAATGAAATAAAGCCCCAAAGATGTGGAAGGCAAAATGCCACAATATAGCAAACAAATCGTGTTTTCTTCTTCCAAGCATAATTATGTAAGTCATTTAATAAGAATAGAAAAAATATCAAAGAATCATTTAAATAAAACCTAAAGGGAGATTGAAAGCTCCTTTTAGTGAGTCCAGTCTCCTGGTATGAATCTCTTTAAATATATGAATCTCTTTAAATATAAAGATATATAAAGCTGGAAATTTTAAAATATGACGACACAGATGGAAACTAAAAATGCTTTGCAATGATTCATATGCGTAATCCACTGCACTTATAAGCATTTCCTTTTTAAAATCTGTATTTGTAAAGGCACCAAAATAATCAGTTTCTCAAAATAATTCCAAGGCATTAATGAGATCTCCTACCAAAAAATTACTCCCCAGACTAGAAGCCTAAATATGCACGTCATCTGTTTTATGTCAGCACAATCCTGGCTCTGAGTGCTGTGTGTGGAGATGGAAAAGGCAGAGGCCCAGAGCTGGTGCCCTTTAGTTCAGATAGGGAGCTGCTCATATAGAACAGCTCGCTTTAAACTTCTAGATTCTACCGCCTAGAAAATCTCCTATCTAATAATAAAACCCCTGTTAAATGGGATAACATATGTAAGGCACTTATTTCCAAAGTAAAATTGAAGAGACTGATTCTGACTGCCAACTTTTAATCCTGCCTAGGAAAGGCATTAAGGAAAACAACCATCATTTATTATCATTAATAATTTATGAAGGAAGGAATATTTTAATACTCCCAAGAATAGGAAGGCCATAACTTCAGAATAATGGCCAGTTTTGTGAATTAAATAAATTTAGCTTTAAGTTCAACTCATTATAGTATCCTCATCTTTCCTTGCATGGATGGGACCATAAAGCATTCATCACAGATCAGCATCATCTGCAGTTCACCATTTTATAATCACTAACAGAGGGCACAAAATGTGGCAGAAAGCCCATAAAATGTAATTGGGGTATTAATTTTTAATTTAATATAGGTAAAACAAGGGAAACAGCAATAAATCCTTTATATAAAATACTCTGTTTTAATGTATATTTAGATGTTACATGTATGACAGTATTATCAATGTCTGTCTTTACTATTCAGGATAAACAAAGTAATAAAAACGAGAATAAAGTTGAACCTAATCATCACTCTTCTATTCTTTTGTTAGAATAAATGTTCAGAGTATTTACTGAAAAATAGCCCCCCAAACAAAAGTTTATGTATCAGTAGTCTTTTAAAGCAGGGGTCCCCAACCTTTCTGGCACCAGAGATTCGTTTCATGGATGAAAATTTTCCACGGATCAGGGGTGGTGGGGGAGTAGTTCTGGGATGGTTCAAGCACATTACATTTATTGTGCAGTCAAACCTCTCTGCTAGGCCTTTTTTCTTCTTCCTTTTTTTTTTTTTTATGACAAGGGGCCCCATTTGTCCTCTGTGGCAAATGTATCTGGCTCTTGCCCTATAAACCTATCTTGTCCTTTCTCAATAAACCTCGTTTCACGCTTGCCTTGCCCCCCAAACAAACAACAAAAAACACCTCTCTGCCAATGATAATCTGTATTTGCAGCCGCTCCCCAGCACTAGCATCACCGACCCAGCTCCACCCCAGATCATCAGGCATTAGATTCTCATAAGGAGCGTGCAACCTAGATCTCTCGCATGTGCAGTTTACAGTAGGATTCAAGCTCCTACACAGAATCTAATGCTGCTGCTGATCTGACAGGAGGCAGAGCTTATGTGGTGATGGCAGTGATGGGGAGTGGCTGTAAATACAGATGGAGCTTTGATGGCTGGCCCACCACTCACCTGCTGTGGGTCCCAGTTCCTAACAGGCCACAGATCAATACCAGTTCGGGGTCCAGCAGTTAGGAACCACAGTTTTGAAGCATACAAAGTGCTTCAAATTTTCATGTTATAAACATGAATACTCACAGCATTCTTTAAATAAATGTAGGAATAGACATTAGCTCTGCATTATGAAAAGCAAAATGGATAGAAAAAAGCAAGTTTAGAAAAGGGACATACAACTATTGGTTTGTTATACATTCTCATTGCCCGAATTAAAAGAATAAACATACACTGAAACTGATGTTCCGGATTTCAATTTGCTGTAATAAAATTGGAATTTTTGATTAAGAAAATATTATCAAGATTTGTTCACAAAATGAGACTCAATACCTGGACCAATTTTATTTTGTAGGAATTTTTTTAATGCAATGTTAAAACTACTCCCACCCACTGCTAGGATGCAATATGGTTGAAAGGCTAAAAGAAAGAATTAAAGTAAGAATATATAAACACAATATCTATAAAATTAGCCCATATGCTCCAATTACTCCAAGCAGAATGTGGGTAACACTCTGGCTAGTGAATTTTTCAGATAATAATTTTTCATTTTGTTCCCTTCTGCTGCCTTTATATGGATTATCCTGTCATCTGCATCTTGACCAAAGAGCCCCCATATACAGGAAGCATAGAGGGGGAAAATCTTGAGCATTTTAACTTTTACTGATCAGAATCCAAATTTTAAAATTTTATATTTAAAAATCTTGGCTCAAATATATCTTTGGTGGTATTAATGGACTTTAAAACTCTAAGCTTTTAAGAACAGTGTGGTACAGTGCCCAACAGCACAGGCTCTCAGGCAGACTGTGTTGGAACCCTGTTCCACCATTTATTATTATTGCTGCATTGTTATTAATGTAATATTATTATTGCTATACTATATAATTATTATTGCTACACCTTATTCCCAGATACTTGAAAAATTCACTGCATGTATGGAAGACTACCAAAAGAGCTGAACATAGTTTAAGTACCTTATTGATCAATTCTGACATAATTTCATCAGATAAGATGTTTAGAGTTCAGAGGGTTAAAAAAAAAAAAAAGGAAAATAAGTAACTGCAAAAAGAATATTTTTCACAATAAATGCTATCAGCTTTCCCCATCATAAAAAATATATATTAAGGTCTGTGTTCTGGAAGCCTAGCAGAAAAGCTGAGCTGCAAGAATGTTCTCCTCTGAATGCCGAACTCACCCCTTGCTCATCCAGTTTCATGAGCTGCTCTGTGACCTTGGGAGTGTTGAAGGCCAAGCGCAGGCACTGCACGTTGAGCTCGGGAATCACGTGCTCGAGCACTTCTTTCAGAGGCAGCCCTCTGGCTGTTGAGTGCTTGGCCGTTGAGGGAATGGCATCCTCCAAGACAGAACCTCTCAGTGTCATGAGCTGAAAGAGAGACACATGCTGTGGTGAGGCCTCTCTGGGGCTTTGGGATGGTATCACACACGCTGCGGGCCTAGACTGTGGGCTCCTCACAGGCCTGAGGAATGACTTAGAATTGGTTACATCATTAAGGGAGAAAGGTAAGGGGCATGAGGTATATACGAAAAACAAAGCCAATACTTTCAAGACGACCTAAGCAAGTCCAAAGGAACTCAAAGCTTTCCGAGGGTATTTACTTAAATGCCAAATACAACATTTCCTTAAAGAGATCAATAAACATCAAGATCTCTACATGACTGTATAATGCCACTAAGCCCACTAACCAGGAAATTAAGGAGGAGAGATCCCAGAAGTATCTGAAGGATAAGTACTTAGCATATGGATATCAACCTCTTTGAATTATAAAGGTAAGGGGATGGATAAAGTTTTAAATTTCATAATGCAGTCGACAAGCATAAAATATTCATATCCCCAAATGCTGCTACAACAAGACAATGATTATAGTTAGCATAGCAGTACAGGCAACAGCATTTGAAATTACTTTAGATTTTCCCTTATTTCTTAAAATACCTTCCATTCTTAAAATACCTTCTGTTAATACCTTCAGCAGAAGCATTTCCCTACGTAATGATGATTTGCTAGCGAAAAGTTAACCAGACATGAAGCTTAAAGTAGTTTTAACTTCTAAAAATTTCCACGTGGCACAGTTGTTAACATAATTTAAATACTGTATGGTGACATAAGAAAAAAGCCCCATCAAATGGAACATGATTCCACTGAGCATGTAGGTTGTCAGGCATATTGCACAAGAGCTGCCAATGCTAGTGGGGGGTGGAGGGTACACACAGAGGGATGTGTGTGGCGTGTAAGAGGGTGAGAGGTCAGAAACGCACATGCGCAATCTGGGAAGGATCAACACACTAAGCAAGGTGCAACAAGGTCAGGTCCTAAGACAGTCCAAAGGCAGAGAACGACCACAGTGGCTCAGGGCATAAGGAAACACCCTAGGTGAAGAGGTGGCATTTAAAAAGGGCCATGAAACACAGGAACAATATCTGTGAAAAGAAAACGTCAGAAAGAACAGGGGCAAAGGTATGGAGCTCGAACAAAACAGGTTGTGCGTGGGAAAGAGTGATCGCTATAGCTGGACCTCAGGGGAACACAGGGTGGGGTGGAAGGCGAGGTCCAAACGAGCTGGGTATCGCGGGAGGCTCAGGATGCTAGACTCCCGTTTCTGGTCTTGGCTCTACATTGAGAATACTCCTGGCCTTTGTGGTTCCCTGTCTCAAGGTACGATCATCTCATGAAGGGAATAGCCCAATAACTGAGCCACAGTAAGACAGCAGCTAACTTCCCGAAAGCCAAAGCAGACAAGAAAAAAGATGACTCATTTTGCACATCCGAATCACTAGGATTACCGAATCACTAGGATTACCGATGTTTTTGTTAATGACTTCCAGAAACAAGAAGTGAGCTCTCATATGTCCTTGTGTTTCGCTGCTTAAAACCATTCACATGCAAAAACAAGAACAAACAAACAAAAAAAACACTCACATGCCATAAAGTTTTGTGCAAACTTCCATGCCTATAAATATATGTGAGGTCTTCTTTTGTGTTTTGCAATGTTACTTCTACTGAAATGAAAGATATTTGTTTGTATTTCTGTTATCTTGATGCCATTTACTGTAGGCACTGGGATGTCACTATAACGCCCTTGTTTTCTTTTTCTTGATGTATTTATCAGCAGAGAAATAAGTAACAGGAGAAGCCCCTGATACAAATTGAATCTTATTTCATTATATATTTAATAAACTGGCTCCAACAGAAAGAGTAAGGTAACTGTCCCACAAGGTCCAGGAGCCAGGGACAGGGACCAACATCCAGAAATATTTCTATCAAAAAACCTTATACAAACATTACAATTAAACCACATTTAAGGATTTTTTTTTAATTGGAAAGAAAAAATTACACAAAAGCTAATGGCAATTAAACATTAGAGAAAGGAAAAGAAGGAGCGAGGGAGGGAAGAAACGAAAGGAAAATGGGGGAAGAAAGGGAGGAAGGGATGAAAGAAGGAAGGATGGAAGGAAGGAGGGAGAAAAAGAGAGAAGGTGCTACCTCAGGCAACAGGCAGGCAGTAAGGAACAGCTCAGACGGAAGCCCTACCTGTGGGGCTTACATCCTAGTGGGGGGAGGGAGATTAAAAGCAAACAAAATCAATAAGTATAATGTATAAGATAATGCTAATAAGTATCAATAAAAAATAAAGCACTGAATTGGATATGAAATGGGTAGGGAGTAGAAACTTAGGAGTGAGGCTAGAAGGAAAGGAGGCAGGAGATGCCTGGGAGAAACAGCAACAGGAGCATCAGAGCCCTGGGGCAGAGGAGGCCTGAGCCACCCAGAGGGGAAGGGGGCTGGTGTGGCTGGAAGAGAGGGAGCCAGGAGGAGTTACGGGAGTTGAGCAGGGATAGATAACTGGGAAGCACTAGGAGAGCACTGGCTTTTTCTCAAAGGGATATAGGGAACACTTGGTGGATTTTGAGTTGAGCAATGACAAGATCTGGATTACATTTCAAAAGGATCCCTGCTGGGCAGAAAGGCTTCCCAGCAGAAGCAGGGAGACCAGTTCTCAGAGAGACTAGACCCAGGCCTAGGCAGGGGTATGGTGGGAGAAGTGGCTGAGTTTTGGATGTATTTTGAAGACAAAATCAACAAGTGTTGCTGACAGGCCAGACCTGGGGGGCAAGAGAGAGGAGATGGTTTCCAGCTTGAACAAAAGAATAAGGAGATTGCCAGGAACTGAACATCTGAACATAAAACACAAGTGGTAATGGTTTTTGGAACATGCGACTCAAACCTTTCAATCAGAGGCTAAGGGAACAGACCCAAGGGACATAACTTACTCAGTGGGTTAGCTGGAAAAGACTGGAATCCTATGACCACAGAACTGGAGGGAGGTGTAAGTAGAACATTTCAGGCCAAGACAGCAAGAGGGGAGAGGACAGAGATGGGAAAGGCAGGAGTCAGTGTGGTTTACAGACCATAGCAGGGTTTAGGACAGACAATGCTGGAGAGAGAGGCTGGGGACCTATGGAGTGCCTGCAAGGCATGCTGGGAAGGCAAGTGCCTGGGAACCAGTGACAGGATCCGAGAGAGAAAAACCCGACTTAAAAAACTTCAACCTCTGGCATGAAGGAAGGGATGGGCGAGTGGCAGTAAGATGAATTTCGATGGATAAAAACATAGACAAGGAAGACTATGATGACTTCAATCAGAGTGGCCTTGGGAAGGAAAAAAGAAATGAACAAGACAGACAACAGCACTTGGAAGTAATGTAACTGAGGCTCCTAGAAATCTGGTAGGATCTGGGAATCTAGACCAAGCAATTACCTGCCTACATCTCCAAAACACAGTATGTTTTCTGTGCCTTTATTGCTCAACAAAAAAATTGACAGTGCTTAACGATTAGCTCTGAAACGGAGAAAACGTACATAGAGTGTGTTAGTTCACTTCTCTCTGGCCACTATAAACAACACATTTAATATTGAAGTCTTGCCTTTAAAATGCCTATTTTTAATTTCCCAGGAGTTCAAGCTTAGGAACAATTACTAAGTGAAGCCAACCCCTGAAATTTGCTTTGCATTCAATGGGGGAAATGAAGCCAAATGCCCTATTTAAACTAGTTTCAAAACCATTATTTTCTAGATACCTCAAGGGAGTATCAGGCTTAATGCATAACAAAAATCCTAAAGTGAATTAGGAGCTGAGAGGCAATAAATTGATAACTGGCCCAATTATACAAGTGTAAAAGAAATCAAAGAAGAATCTCATAGTCCCAAAACTTGTTCATGAGTTTAAAAAAATAAAAAATGCTGTGTAGGTTATTTACTTGTACTTTTTAAATTTCTTTTTTAACCCAAGTTTCATTTTAAAATAAAGACTCACACAATTATGTGTATTTCGATTCCTAAAGAGCTCCAAGAGCCTGTTTTGTCCACAATTAGATAGCCCCTGGTTCAAACAGTCTGCATTCTAGGTCTCAAAGAATAGGTCCAAGAGATTATAAAGTGAAAGTGGAAGAAGCGTCTTCTTCCGTCTGTTGGTCCAGAAATGACCTAAGCAATAGTTCAGAGAAGTATAAGTCTTCAGTGGCTTCCTCTTATCTGTACACTGGCTCCTCAAGCTGGCCTGGTGCTTTCCGGCTGCCCCAAGCAGGACACGTAATATCCCATTTGGGATTCTGAGGACTTCAGTTTCCTTGGGCCACACTTAACAGACATATCTTTCTCTGAATCAAAACTCCCATTCATTTACTGCATCTATCCAGAGCTAGACAAAAAGCAAGATTAGATTCAGACCTAACCCTCTTGTCTACCTCTATCACCACCAGAATGAATGAAAGGGGCCTTTGTTTATTCCAATACATTTGTAACCCTGTGCTATTAAATTTAACTGCTTTGCTACTGCTACTACTCTATTTTTGTTACCCCACTTCCGTTAAGCCTCAAACCTCTCTCATTTGCAACTTACCTCACTAGTTCTAAAAATTATTCGGTAGTTATATGGAGATCCATTTTCTTTCATTTCTTCTGGTTTTTCCCTTCGAATGCTCACGGCCACCGGACCAAGATTCTCATCAGCCCCAAAATAGTTCCAGTGTTCTTAGATAAAATAAGACAAAACAAAGTCAGAAAATTTACTTAACACTTTGGAAATGTTATATTATGCTCAGTATTTCAGAATGCCACTCAGAAAATGTACTGATAAAATGTGAACATTTAACAAATATTAATATTCTTCAGTGAGTTATAAAAACAAGGACCTGGCAACACAGGTTTAGTTCCAGAGGAGATGACACTGAATAGATGTGGCCTGTTGGGTTTTTTACCACTCTACAAATGACTGCTCTACTGTTTCTTAAAAGGAACTTGTGTTTTCTCCCTATATTCCATCATTTAAATAGGCTATGTTGTATGTGCTTCCTTGCCTAAGAAAAGGTTTGTGACAGGGCTTTTTAGCTTTTGGTTAAAAAAAAAAAGAAAAAGAAAGAAAATGAAACCTATTGAGAACAGAGCTTGAGGAGACAGGGTTTTCTCCAGATTAAAAAAGATTTCCCTGGATTGGAGAGAGGAATGTACGTGAGTCACTGAGCAGCTCTCTGGGGCAGCCCACATAAGATGGAGTAGGGGTTCAAAGGAAAGAGCTTCAAGATGCTCCACAGGGGCAGGTCCCAGGGCTCTGGGCCCAGGTGGCTGGTGAGCCAGGGTCCTGTCCTCAATGTCCTGGCACAGCCCAAGGCCCCAAACCTTAGCACAAAACTCCAAGGGCCTGGTGTTGAATTTACCTTCCTCCTGGCAAAAAGGAAGGTCAAAATCAAAGTTAATTTATAGAAAATGTTTAAAAGTGATATTTACTGTGCATCTAAGTATATATGTATCTTTAATCATGTCTTAATATGTCTTTATACAAATTAAAATTATTGATATGTACATGATATATTCACAGATGAGGAAGTTGATAAAACATGGAAATATGTGAAAAGCTTGAGTACATAATTTAATTTTCAAAGCTCCAAAATACTTACTTTACATTGTTCTATTTCATTTACATGTGACACAGCTAAATGACCGAGTTGTGACATGGTACATTATTCTCATATGAAATGTATAAATATTTGAAAACACATGTTATTTCCATACAAAATATGTATTTGAAAATCCATGAGAATAAGAAATAATAGCATAATATGTCTAATCATATAGTTTTGAAATTTAAGTAATGCATTTGAAAATACTTTGCAAGTACTAAGACACAATTACAAAAGATATAATTATAAATATTGAGAGCTTTCTAAGAATATTATCATAATCCATGGAAATTCAAAATAAAATCACAATGGTAATACAGGCAACAAACATCTCATATGGACAACTGAGAAACGACCCAAATAAATGTCACAAAATTCATGTATAAACACTCATGTACATCCTCAAAGCACAGCACATGAGAATCACACTCAGATTATTTACTCTTACTTTGCACACAATTCTAATAAGCTTGGTTGTCTGGTCTTCAAGCCCACAGCTTTATTTCAGAGGTGTGATAATTCCAGAGGTTGACAAAGTCCAGGGTGTAGGGCTGATATAGACTTGCATGCAGACAACAACTGACAACAAGGAAGAAAACAGACAGGGAGGAGACAGAAATAGTATAAAAAAGCAGACAAGAACTTAAAGAAAAACAAGACAGCAGTCTGGGGCCAATGACTGAAGGAGCAAAGAGCTTAACACACTTCAGTAACTTGAGAGGATATATTTTGATACTGCAGCACAGAACAATAGCGGATGCATCCAAGATGAGCATGAGTCACATTCAGTATCTGTACCTTACACTTCATGGACTCAACTGAAACCTGACTTTCTAGAAACGCCTCAAATACATCCCACTACCTAGGAAGGGCAGGTGGGATGGCTTTTCTCAGCTGCTGGAGAAATTCACAAGTACAGGGCCACTATCAATTCATCCTCAATAACCTCAAGTTGTCCTTGTCCTCAAGCTTTCCCTGGTCAGCTCCTTCTCCACAGCAGATGTTGCAAACACTCTATTCTCCGTCAACCTCCCCCTACCTACCTTCTCCTCACTCTTGGCAAATGACAAGACAGTATGTCTACATCACAAAGGAAATGAAGAAGCCATTTCAGAAGCAAACCTTCTCCTCACCACCATCATGCACACAAACTTACCTGCATCCAGACTCTTGCTCCCTTTCCCTGCAGTCCAAAGCCTCCCCCTACATCCTGGACTCTGCTCATTCCACCTTCCCAGTGAGGCCTCAATCTCTATCTTCAACTTCTCTCTAACTTGCTAATTCCAATTCCCGTCATCATTTAATGAACTTTAAATATACATTACTCTCAACTCATTATCACCCTTCAGGACTGAAGAGTTGTTTCATCTTTCCCTTCTGCCATTGGAAACTTCTTGAAATAGCTGCCTAATTCCTCACTTCAGAATTATTGTCATCTGACGTCCACTGCACAGGGCACCAATGACTACCTCAAAGTTAAAACAAAAGCTACTTTGGGTCCTCACCTCACACAAACTCCATGACATCTAGCACAATGATTACTTCATTTTTTCTAGAAACATTCTTACTTCCTGGTTCCTGTAACATCACCACCTTCTGATTTTCCTTCTACCACTCTGGGGTTCTTGCTCAGTTTCCCTTCCTTTTCCCTTTTGAATATTCCAACTACGTTCAGAACCTCAACCGCCATCTCCATGTTGATGACTCTTAGAAGTCCCCAGGTCCATTCCAGACTCCTCTAAGCTCGAGATCTTTGCATCTACCCAATGGAACTCTGTGCCACATAAACATACATAGTGGTCCCTGCAGCCCCAGTCCGGCAAGTGCTACCACATTCACACGGCTGCTCAGGCCAGACCCACTGGCATGCCCTGTGAATTCTAGTTCCAACACACCTCTCCAATCTGTCCACATTTTCCCATCCCACTGCCACTGATTCATCCTAGTCATCACTTGCCTGAGTGTTTGCAATGGTCTTCTAACTGGTTTGTTTTTACCCAAACTGTGCACACAGAGACCAAAGGATCCTTTTATAATGCAAATCTGATCAACCACTACTCAGCTTAAAATCCTTAGGTTCTCAGATACTTTTCACGGCTTCCCAAAGGTCTTCCGAACCTGCTGTCAGCCTATCACTCCAGCCTCACCTCCGACCTTTCTCTCATTCTTCTAAACTGTGAGAAGACTCACCTATGATGAAATTCTCTTTCAGTTGTTCAACTTACTATGCCTTTTCCGATCTGAAAAACGCTGCCTAGAACATTCTTTCCATAACTCTTCTTTGTTTGGCTAAACCTTCTCATCTTTTAGGTCTCATGTGAAGTATGACTTAGACATCTTCTAAAAGAGATTGCACATCGTAGCAAAGTGAAAGTTTACTTTGCATGTTGATACTAATACTTTATTTAAAGTGTTATGAATTTACAAAAACATAGTGATATCAGATATTTAGTATGTCTCAAATACAAGGATTTAGAAACATTTAAAACAAAAATATAAATTTATAAAATATAAATATTTAACACCATCATTTTAGTATTACTGGTAGTAAAATGAAAATAGCGTTATTTTAAGAATAAACCCTACATAAAATAACCTAAAATTAAAGACTATAATAAAGAATAACTTAATAATAAAAACTGGAAAATGATCATGTAAACTTTTTTTTGGGTATCATCATCAAAATCTGACTATATTTTTATGTAAATGTTCCCAGCTGCTAAAGCAGTATATTTCAGAATTGGGGGAATAGTGATAGGACAATTTATAAACTAACTTCAAACCCTTTCTTCAGACTCTATCTTCAAATAAACCCACCTCTGGTTTGATAATGCTGGAAAACTTTTTGAATTTATGTGTGTGTTTATGCAGAAACATCAAGCTTTTTTTAATTGAAAAAGAGCTCTAGCTATTATTTCCAAAACAGCTTTTCCAGCCAGTTTTCACTGCTTCAGTTCCACCGCTATAGATGGGAGATTCTGGTCTAGTTTCCTGCATTACATTCACTACTATCATGATCAAACTTGGTGTGTTCAAAAAGTCTTTCAACTTTAATAAAAATTTTTATAATAAAGGCCTCATTTTGGTCCACTGTCCATTTGTTCACTCCTGAGGATTATGGAGACAGAGAAAGAAAATTCCTTTTACATGAACACAAATTTCATTCAATTCAAAATCCTAATGTAGTGTGTAACCGTCTGGTAGAGAAGAGTTTGGTTCAGCAAGTCTCCTTAAATTTTTGAGTTCTTAAACTTTGATCTCAAGACAAATGATTTCAGGGCTTTTTTTGTTTTGTTTTAACTAAAATAACAGCCAATTTTAGGGTTGCCTGTCCTTCACGTTCGCTGGGATGCACTCACTACCTTCCTTCCTCTCCGGCCCCAATCCCAGGGCAGTGCTTCTAGACTTGCTCCTCAATGCAGCATTTACCATTTTTTTCCTACCAGCCATCTACCTCCATTCTTTGCTGGTGAAGATATCCACCAACTGCACGGAGTTCTCCCAGCCAGATCCACATGTCTTTTTTGAAGGGTAGAAAAATTGGAGTGGGAGGGATAAGGGGGAGTTACAGGTGAGGAGGGTTGAAGAAAAGCAAGAAAGACTTTGATGAAGAAATGCAGTACGAGAAAAGTCAGAGGAAGAAAAGGGGAAGGGAAGAGGAACCGGAAACTCAAACAGGGTGCATAAAATTGCGGATGGATGAATTGAAATACAGGTATTACTTCACCAAAGGACGGATGAGTTGAAATACAGGTATTACTTCTCCAAAAATACTATTTTAGAGCCAGCACACTTGAATGCCTAACACCAACATGGTAATCACCATATTACAATGACATAATGCAGTGAAGCAAAGCACTTTGCCAAACACTCTAATATCAACCATGAAAATATAGGTATTTCCTTCCTTTTTACAGATGTGGCAACTATGATTTAGAAAGGATAAGTCACTTAGCCACAAGTAGTATATAGCAGTACCAGATTCAAACACATTATTTTAACTACTGATTTCAAAGCTCATTTTCTTAGCCATTATCCACATTATGTTCCCGTAAGTTTCTAAAATTTTATTAT